CAGGTCATGATCCCAGGGTCCTGGGATCGAGCCCCGCATCGGGCTCCCTGCTCCGCGGGAGGCCTGCTTCTCCCTCTTCCACTCCCCCTGCTTGTGTTCCCTCTCTCCCTATCTCTCTGTCAAATAAATAAATAAAATCTTAAAAAAAAAAAAAGTAACAGACAAATGAATGGAAGATGCTCATTCAGGTGTGTCAAGGAGGCATCGAAAGCAGATGTTTAAATGAAGCAGGGACAAGGTGGCCCACAGTGACCAGAAGGGCCAGTGTGCTATTTAAACTAATCCCGGGCCACCCATCCTTACATACTGCCATGCTGTAAAAGCACTCCTTTATTCTCCTTCTCCAAACAATGCACAAAGGCAAGAGAGGGAAGGAAGTTATGTTGCAATATTCTGAAACATAAATTTTGCTACCAACCAGCTCAGAGACAGTATCCTGTTTTCCTGACACATGGATCAGATTCACTGGAGGCTGCACCTATAAAAGCCTGTGTCCTGTTTTTCTAAGTGGCTTCTGAATAAAACCCGGTCACCTGCATTTACACATCCAACACAGGTTGAGCAAACAGAGATTGTTGTTTGTGTGTCCAGTTTCTCAACCAACGTGGACAATTGCGTATTGGCACCCCTCGCTCCCACTGAGGAATTCACTCTTTCCCGAAGTGGGACATTCAATTACGTTCTTCTTTTCTCTTAAAGTCAAATAAAAACAGGGGCACCTGGGTGGCTCAGACAGTGAAGCGGCCGGCTCTTGATTTCGGCTCGGGTCATGATCTCAGGATGGTGAGATGGATTCCCGAGTCAGGCTCCGCGTTCAGCAGGGAGTCTGCTTGGGATTCTCTCCCTCTCCCTCTGCCCCTCCCCCTGCCCCTCCCCCTGCTCGTGTGCTCTTTCGCTCTCTCTAAAATAAATAAGTAAATCTTAAAAAAAAATAAAGTCGAATAAAAATTAAACTTAGGTTCAAATTTACGAAAGAGGCCCAAGGCAGAAATTTCTATTTACTCCCAAGGTTTTAAAATTTGGCTCTACTATCCGTAGACTATCTATATCCTATCTGTATCTCTAAATACCCCTTTCTCTCTGCTTTGATTGGAATTCAGAAATCCTGTGGCCAGTTTCCAGGGGTGCCATCGATGTGCTACTGGAGTCAGGGAAAGTGTTGAACTGCTTGGGGCCTCATTTCATTCTGGGAATCGGAGGTAGATCATGCTTGTTATTGGCAGATCAGAGGTGGCGGAAACCGTGACTGTTTGGCTTGCTCAAGTACAAGGCCTTCACAAATGTGATGAGGCAGGGCTTTGAGAACTGGAAGAAAGTGAGCACGGGTAAAGTCCACGGGGAGAGGCTTAAAGGCACAGCTCTGGGAAGGGCTTTGGGGGTGGGGGGGGTGGGGGGAAGGCAGCTTTGGAGGAAGACCAGCAAAGCTGTGGCCCATGAAGGGTTACTGAGCTGCCCGTGGACCTCTCTCCCAGGGAGAGACAGTTTTCAAAGTGTATGCTCCACACACACTTTCTTTTTTTTTTTTTCTCCCGTTATAGAAGAGATGTCTGAGTTTAACGCTAGAGGGCAAAGAGTAGAGGCATTTTGGCTGTATGCAAATGCTCGGGCAGGCTGCCGTGTCACAGGATTACCACATACGGCCTTACCTTTTGCACAGACGAAGAAGAATGAGGTTTGTGACATCAGAGAAAACTCTTACAGGTTATCTCAACGGTCACTTGCACTGTCACTAAGAGAGTTCCTGACATCTCAGTCCCAGGGCCCTGGGCATCCCCATAATTCTCTGTGGCTTCTGATTCTTCATGTCCTGTCTCTTAACAATACTCTATCTTCTCTCTCAAAGCTGACCAGTCCATCTTCGGTGTTTCATGAAAGGGAATTTCAGCGACTTTTTTTTTTTTTTTTAGGGGTTCTCAACCTCAGCACTACTGTCATTTTAGAGCCGAATAGTTCTTTGTTGTGGGAAGCTGTCCTGGGCCCTGTGGGTTAGTTAGCAACAACCCTGGGTCTCCACCCACGAAATGCCAGGAGCAGCCTCTTGCCTTCAGTCCTAAACATCAAACCCATCTCCAGACACTGCTACACGTCCCTTGAGGGGCAAAACTGCTCTGCGTTGAGAGTCACTGGTTTAAAATGAGCTAATGAGAAATTAAATTAAATGAACCTTGTGTTTTAGAGCACTGAAAACAATTCTATCAGTGGTAGAAAGTGATACGGGGAAGCAAAAGGGGTGTCTTCGTACAGATTAAAGCATCTATATATAACTAGCTGGTGAACCAAGTCTCCTAGAGGTGTAAATGAGAAGTACCCCATGCAGAGGTCACAACACCGAAACATGGGGACACAAGGTCATGAAGAAGGGAGTTTTTGAAACTAGCCCACCAGGGAGGCACTGACCAACCCTCCCTTCCCCCCACCCCACCGACCAATTAGTAATTCCCTACCCGTCATCTGCAAAATGCATGGCAATCACCCAACATGGAATAGCCGATTTTTAGATAAGAGGTCTACAGAGATGACATTTTTTAAAGTACTGTTTATTTAATGCAGCATGACTTAAACGGGCCTGTCGCCTGACAAGCGTACTGAATGAGGAATGTTCAATGTACCAGTTCTAACTAGCCAAGTCCTCACATGAACTTTCTAAGACCCGGCTGAGAAGCCTGGGAAGTGTAACTAAACCACAGTCCTTCAGGGCTCCTTCTCCGCAGCCCTGACTCCCCCGCCTTAAGCGCTCTTTTAAGTCTCTGTTCAGACATCTTAGAAAATCTTAGCTGTGGCCAGAAACTACAGCCACCCTGGCTCCCCCCACCGCCCCCAGAGATCCCTGCTTCCATGTCAACCAACACCGAAAGGCACAAGTCCATTCTATTTTTAAATATATTCAGCAAAGCAGCAGCTTGGTACGTCTTTGTAAAGGATGGTGGTCACCCAACCTCACTGTTACTCTGTGTTTTTTATCAGTGAGATAGACTGGGAAGTCAGATCAATTTGGGATTCAATTCTCTGGTCTTCATTTGTCAACTGTGTGCCCTGGAGAAAATCACTTAACCTCTCTGAGACTCCATGTCTGCATAGGCAAAGTGGGAATGACACTCAGGGTACCTAAAAAACAGGCTGTTCTGAGGGAACTGTGAGAAGACACATATAGAGCATGGGGGTCTCCAAATGGGGGCCACTGTTGTTATCATTCGTTATTACTGTTATTAATACCTACTAGAGTCACTATTCACTCATTAGTCAACACACATTTATTCAACACCTTCTGTGTGCTGGGTGCTGAAAAACCGCGGTAAATATTGTAAAATTGGTTTTCTTAATGACTCAATAAACATTTATTCAGTGCCTTTTATGTGCTGGGGGCTGGAAAAACTCAATAAATATTGTAAAATTGGCTTTCTTAATGACTCAGGATTTCAACCAAATACACTGAGGTTTAAGAAATGTCTCTGCTGGTGGGATTAAAAAATACACTTCAAGTGCTTTGCATGGAGCCTGGCACATATTAGGGAGAAGAAGCCAGATGATGACGGAGGTGTACATGGCTGTGATATTGAAAAGTAGTTGATTTGGCGATCTTTTTTCAATTTGTTTGCCAGAGCACTTGATGTCTGTCCCTACAAGAAACCGTTCATTTTCAAGTAAACGGGTGCTGATCTTGTGAGAAAGAACTTTTTTTCAAAGTAACACTTTAATAGGAGTAGATTAACATTCCTTATTATAGGGTAGGCTTATAATAAGAGTCTGGAGCCTGGGAGGTAATTTTCACTATTGAAAGGTAAGCGAATTTTTACTAATTTATAAGTAAATATTAGAGTACCTGGGTTTAGAAATTTCTATGACAGACAGAAATCAGAGGTATGATCACAAAATAACAATAAGAATAACTGCTCACTTACTTTGTGAGGCAAATAAAGGCAGACGTCTAATCTCTTGGATTTAAAAAAAAAACGCATTCTTTTACATTTCACATTAATTTACATTAGGCCCTTTTCTGTGGGAAATAGACAGGAATAGACAGGTTTAGACTTTTGTTCTTCTTTGTCACTAATTCTTTCACAACCCCCTTAGTATTTCAACACAGTTTAATGCACTCTGTTGGGGGCCCTTAGCCCCTTAATTCTCAAAACAACAACAACAAAATCCATTTATTTTGCAAACATTGTTTTTCCACAAAATCGGAAGTGCCTACCTGTGATAAAAAGTCTTTTGATGACGGCGAAGTAAGAATGCATTATGCTCTCAGGCCAATAATCATATTATGGCCCAAGCCAAGTTCGATGAGAAATTAATTTTGACCAAGGGATGCCCTTACCTCAAATATGTTTGAAGGCTCATTGTTGTACTGATTGGATATTATTTCTGATTGGTCACTGCACCACTTGAGTCCACCCAGAAAGCTGTCTGTATCCAAGTCGTTCACGTCTAGTTCAGAAAGGTCAAGTTCAGGAAGATCTGGGCAAAGAGGCTGGTCTTCACCAACCAGAGCGGCACACTGCAGGAGGCAGGGGGTAAAAAAAGCTTTCATTAACTGCAGGAATTTATTAAACTGCAATAGCATGTGATAGGAATTAAGCCTGGTTAATTCAACCACACCACCAAAGCTGGTTTCCAGGGTTTTAGTCACCAGAAAAAAAAAAAAAAAAAAAATCCTAAATTCCTTTACTTACTTTGCTCTTAAAGGATACTGTGCCTGATCTATTCCATCCAAAATTCTGCCTCCAAATTCATGGTAAGTGCCATGTTTCCATGAAGCCCTCTCTGATCCTTCCAGTTAGCAATCAACTGAATTTGTACCGTTTTGATGGTTAGTGCTTGAGTTTGAGTTTCAAGTTGTTTTCTGGTTAAACATATGCAAAATTTTACTCTACCCTGAGTATAATCTCTTGAGGGCAGGATATAAACTTGATTTTACCTTGGATTTGCCATCCCACATAATAGAAACAAAACAAACAATCACTCAATGAAAAATAAAAGCATAAGAACTCTACCAGGAAAACTTTACCCATTTACACCCCTTTTAACCTTTGCAATCCACATAATTCCATTAGCAACAAATGATGCAAGCCTTTTTACTTGTCTATGGTTCTCTTGAATTGTTATTTTAATCTTTTACTCTCAATTTGACTTTTCACGAGCTTTAGCACATCATCTTGAACAGGTCAAAAAACAAGTTCCTTGAGAAAGAGACAAAAGTCATGAGTTTTTCTATATGATCTTGACATCTTCCGCTATGTTTAAGTTGCAAGTCATGTGTGTTGGGGTGTGTGTGTGTGCATGTAATATTGGGATTGCCTGACATCTACAAAGGAAAAACCACTATAGCACTCCACAATTATATTTTTTTTCATCATTTATGTATTCCTAAACTATGCTGAAGTGAATTCAAAAGAACTCTTCTTCTTTGGAGTTTTTACATGATTTCAGTCTATTGAGAGGTTTAACATAGCCCATACTATGGCCGGGCTGTTTGTAAGCAAGGCTATTTCAGACTGGAATAGTCTTCCACTTCCTTGCGTGGAGTAGGGTGGCCTTTCAGTTGTCCCACAATGTGGCTTTTTGAAAAAAAGTGGACCACTTGATTGAAGAAGTGGTCTAACCCCAAATTGGCCACCTGACTGCTGATTTCCTCACTGCATACTGTGAAGAACCCTGCTGAAGTTTCCTACTGCAGGGACCTGAGGATGCCAGAGCCCCAGGACTTTATCCACCTGCAAGCCAAGGTGTCTAAATCAGCAGGCACACACTCCGAGGTGGCACCCTCACGGCCCTACCTTCCAAGGTCAGGAGAGATGCTGTGGAGTTGCTCACAACCAGGCAGCAGTTGGGCATGAAGCTGAAGATCCCGCTTGACATTTAGGTTTTGAATAAAATAAGTTTTATGCAGATTTTTTTCCCGAGCACCCCTGTCATCCCTGGCAGGCTACATTACACAGGTCATATGCAGCAGCATGATCGTAAGCACCATGCTGAGAAGTAGGTACTGGGTAATGGAGTCAGCAGTTGGTACAGGGAGGCTAGGAGCAGCCTGAAGATGACTGCGATTCTTCCCTAAGACCACCAGGCCCCAGTGAGATCCCAAACTGAGGGCACAGAGGTAATGCAAAAAGAAAGGGCAAGCCCCTCCACCTAAACTCTTTCCTTATCATTTTATTGGTCATTCCGTTTTTATTACCCGAGGTAACCCCAAGTTGCAGATCGGTATACTTGACTAGGTTTATAAGGAAGCGGGGGCCGGGCTGGGGAGAAGATTTTGTTCTGGTACAATGTTCGAGTTCTGTTATGGGTGTAACACTTCTCAGCCTCCATACATGCCCACATTGCTTATCCTCCGAGGACAAACACACAGTGTTAACTCTTCCACAGCACGATCAATCCAGAGACCAGGGGATAACTTTTTTCAACGGTGCAAACCCACTAGGACTGCATTGAGGGCTAGTCCTTAACCAGAAAAGCATAAACAACAAAAACAGCAAAAAAAAAAAAAAAAAAAAAATCAAACAAGGGTAGGAAACACAGGAGCTCTCCAACTGGCTTAAGTTCCTGTCGTGGAGAGCACAACTTAGGAACCGTGCTTTGGAATGCTGGAATGCCCTACACATTGGTGAGCAACTTCTTGCTGTCTCTCTCTTCACTGCCTTCTCTAGGCATGGCTCGTTCAAAACCCTTCACCCTTTCGGGAACATGCATTTTGTAAGTAACTTTTGAAAACCATTAAAAAGACCAGATCAATTTCTGGCATTTTGCTGGGCTGTAATTCACACACTTCTTTCCTTTCCTCTCTTTGTCTCTCATTTTTGCTCTTATGTTATGGTTGAAAATGTGCATGTGCTCTTGCCAATGTTGACATGCTAATAAAATCAGGGTTTCTGAATGTGGCATTATCCTGATAATCTAAAACACATTAGTGGTAGCAGGTGTTCCTGTTAGTAATTTATATTTGGCCTTTGGATGATGCCAGACTTAACAGTCCAAGCCCTGTAACTGTCCTCATCTGACATGCTGGTATTTACTGCTTCCCTATACATCTGTAACAGGTGTGCTTTATTGCAATTACAGAGACACATTCTACTGCTTCTTTGCAACTATGACAGCTATTTCCCAACCGTAGCCTTAATTTTATAATAAGATTTAAGAGGATAAAGCAGTCACTAAACACAAAAGGCTAATTATTGTACGTTTTTTCACCCCAACAGACTTTTCTCTTAGTTAAGGAGCAGACAATAAATTAGCTTAACTGCACTGATGATAATGAATCATCATAATTAAGTATAATTCTCCATTAACCTTTCGGAGGTTTTTGTGCCATTGATGGTAAATTTTAAAGAGAGAGAGAAGAAAGAGTGGACTTGGCCACATTAATTATATTAATGAAAAAAGAATTCTTACTTCTTAGGAAAAAAATTAGTGAGGACAGGGACAAGGGAGTAGGGCGGGGGGCGGTAAAGAATGACAGTCTTCATGGAGTGCATGTCATGTGAATTGTCTCTATCAATCTTGGTAACCTTATTGTACATCACCTTCATTAAACTGTGAAACACTGGGGACTCCAAGTAGCTATAGTGATAGAGGCCCTTATTAACCACTGCGCCGTCCTGTCATTATGTGCAAAAGGGCATAATACGTTTTAGGATGACAGCAAACATTAACGATTCAAAAAATGAAAGCTGCTTCTGCTACCTGCTGCTCATAATAGGTTAGACTGGCCGAGGCGATTCCCAGAGCGGCCGCCGCGAAGGCAAGGCTTCTAGCAGCTTGCTGTCTACTGTGCAACAGAGAGGCGACTGGCCAGTCTCAGCCGCCCGACAACTCAATCCACCGCTGGACACTTAGCCCGGGAACTCACCTCCTTTGGAAAAACATAAAAGGGCCCCTGTTCTAAATTAGTTCTGACGCTTCCTTGAAAATGACTGCAGGAATCCCAGTGATTAAAACAAATCCTCCATATTTCCATATCAACTCCCAACAGCATCAGGAATAAGACAAGATGGAAAAATGAAACTATAGCAGCTGAGCCCCCACACTGGCAGCCAGACAACCAGCCACAGGACACTCCGGCTACTCCAAGACAATGAGGACTTTGAAGCCACTTATAACCCTGACTCAGAAGAGCGACAGGACATACGAATCACCCAGATCTCTCCCACCTTACCAAGAAACCACGACAAGATAAGGACAAGCAGGATCCGCAAGGACCATCTGCCAGGGCAGGAGAGGGCAAGCCGAGCCCACTTGTGCAAATCCGGTAAAGAGTTAAGAACGCAGGGCATGGCTCGCTAGAGAGGAGAAATGCATTCGCAGGCAGCCCCGGCCAAATTATTTGCACTTTAGATGTGTATCGCTGCACCACATGGACATCTTATTTAACCAAATCACGTGTGGCACTCGATCCTCCCCCTCACCCTACGTGCCCCCAGCTACCCAGAGGAAGCACTGGCAGCCCTCTCTCTGCCAGACTCATTGTTAGCAGCTCCGATCCCCCGTGCAATGCAACTGGGCTCCAGCTCATCACGGTCCACAGAAAGTTTAGCTTCTTTCCCCAAGTTGCCCAAACTTTCCGAGAACATTCCATTGTGCTGAATGCAAACACGCCGCGGTCCTCCGTCCCCCCCGTTAGTCACTGGAGGCTCCAGAGATTATGAGGAAACGGCTTGCTTTTCTCCCCCTGTATGAATTGTGGCCAGCAGAGACTGTGGAATTGATGTATTGCCGTCTATTTTTACACAAGCAGTGAGCAGCCCCACACACAGCCCTGCATAAACTCCTCTCTCTGGCTTCAGGCAGCTCTCCGTGGTACAGAGAGATTTAACCATTGGCTTCCCTGCCACCGACACTAATGGAAAACCTTGCATCGTAAAGCAGAGATGTATTTTTTATTTGCTGACCAAATCTTTCCACCACATATAGGTGTTTTAAGGGAATCAGCTTCGTTGTTTTGTGTGCTATGGGGAAAGCAATCTAAAATAGCCCAGCAGGATTATTTAGGATTTTGTGAGTTCTCTGTCTGATGAACAGAGAGAGAGGGGGAAAAAAAAAAATCCGGACTAGAGTCAAAACTGACTATATTTGAGCACATCCATTTTAATATTTTTATTTTCATCTTATTATAAATAGAAATGGCATTTTTCCAACCGGGCCACTAAACACCACTGGAAAGACTTCAGCTTCTGATTCATATCAATATCTTAGAGCATAAATATTGCATATGAGTAGAAACAGAGCCAAAGGCACATGGAAAGAGTTTCCAACTGCAACAGATATGGGTGACAGCAGCTAGGCTTTGATTTGCTCAAGGGATCTCAGAGCCACCTTAAAATAGCAAACTTATTGGAGTTAAGATAAGATTGAGATTCCCTTCCAAAAGCTCCTGCCCGGGCTACTTTTCTGCCTCCTCTCCTTGTCCAAGCCCTTCCCCCCTTACAGGAATCAGTGCATCGGAAGGGAGGGAAGCTCTCCAGTCCTTCCTGCAATGCCCAGCCCAGCCCCAGCTCACCTCGATGTCACTCCATACAGAGTCCTGGTTGCACATGTCCCACGCCATCCAGCTCCTGAATGACGCCAGTTAAGCTTTTTCAACTCCAATCCACAGTGACACAGAGCACACACTCATGCAGGCAACCAGCCCCTTACTGAGAGTGAACTGAAGGCACCTGTCTTACTACAGTCCCCAGTCACATGACAAAGCTATTAAAAAGTAGGCTGGGCTGTCACTCACCCAGCCTCCCTTCTCCTGTGCAGCTTGCTGCTCAAACTCGTGACGTCACTCAAAGGCAGCCCTCTGCCTCAGTGAAGTAACGCTTAAAAAAAAAAAAAAACGGAAAGAAGAAAGAAAGAAAGGAAACACTTGGACTTTTTGGAGGCTTCAAGCATCATGCTGTGATTAAAGCCAGCTTTGAATGCCACAGACTCAAAACGGAGCCCTGGCCATATAATAACTAAAATCCCCTGCAATCTTTTTTTAATTTATTTTCCTTCCAAAACAAGCAAGTGGCAAAGCTGCCTGTTTCAGGACAGAGTAACTATACTCTTTGCTAAAACGTGCACTCCCTAAGGATTCAAATTCTAAGACCTCCAGTGGACTCTAGCTCGGTTTGGGACTAAAGCAAGAGCTTATCACATGATGCATTTTTATGAGACATTTTCTAATTGGGGGGAAGTGTTTGAAAGCAGAGAATGGGGCAGGCAATTTTTTTTTTTTTTTTTTTTTTTTTGCTGTTTAATCAACAAAACAGTCTGTATTTGTTAAGGTATAAACAAACTCCTCCACCGAGGAATCGGCTCTCCCCGTGGCAGGAGGGAATACCAGCTCCTGAAGTGTTACTGCAATGTGCTTTGCTCCTTATAAGGAAAACAAGAAACAAAATACCACCCTTTCAGGTTCTCTCCAATTACTTCCATTTCTCTCATAGGCTCCCAGAAAACAAGTGTTGGTAAATACAGTTGCTGCTGCTGTGTCCAGATCAGCTGAGTTGCCCGGCTGCCTTTTTCCATACATGTAGCATTTCCACTTCAGCTACCTTCGGGTGCCTTTTTGAATAAACACTGGATTCCAACCCTAGTGCCTGGGTTGTGCAGTTTGCATTTGAGACCAAGAATGTCCGTGGAGTAAGGGAAAAATACTGACACGCTATTAGCAGAAATGTTCATTTTTGGAGATTTTTAATTTTTTTTTCTTATTTCTCAGCTTCTACCCCGAGACAATGAAGGCTAATGCAGGTGCACTGTTTTATGATGACATACATATTGAATACATAACACACTCAAGGTACTAGATATCACTGAAAAGCACTTCCCATAACACCATAGTGGTCTGATTTAACCCTTCCAAGTTCCAGGGAGAGGCACCCATGGTATCTATATTTGTGATTACATATGTTTTTAATAGAATTTTAAACCCAATATACTTTTAAAATCAGCTCAATTCTTTTCCCTGATAATAACTTCTCTGAAAAAAATCCCCCAGGTATCTAAAAATAATTTTAAAGCACTATTAATATAATCTCCTGTTCTACTAAGGTTAATTTAATGTGTTCTCTCTTGTCCATCTCTTTCTAAAGAAGAAAGAAATGGTGATTTGCTCTCTAACACATTTTAGATGTGGAGTTGCTCAAATATTAAAGTGAAAGGAAGGAAAATCAAACAAAAAAAAATCAGTTTCTTCTTTCAGACCACATGTGTTACAAGGTATTTTTTGACTCTGGTATCTGCAACAAGTTGCCAGCAAATTCCCGAATCATGTGATGAAATTGACAGTTTGTCATTACTGGACGTAAAAAGATGGCCCAGAGCTTTGACATTTTAAGTTAGCTGAATACATTTCACTGGCACATTTTTCCCTCTTACAAATAGTGGAAAATTACTGTAGTTTTAATTTTCTAAATCAAGAAAGAACAGGAAAATACAACCTCGGGAAGGCTTTTATACATGCAATTAGTGGCATTACTCTGCACTCCCCACAAAGAAACACTAATTTTCTTCCCAATTATATTCCGATTTAATGTAAAACTACAGTAAATTATTAAAATTCAGGGCAAAGGTCATTGGCTCAACCCGCAACACAGTCAACTGTGAAATAATACTGGTCACTTGACCAAGAAGAGTTGATGTTTATTAATTATTATCAGGTGATCCCTGTGGTGAGTTTTCTCTGATACCTTTAATTGTGTTCATCGAATGTGAGGTATCCATTAGGTATATATTTATAATATAATTTATATATTTATAAAATATATATTTTTATATATAGGATATTGATAAATATATACATATTTTTTAAATCATGTTCACACATTTTGGAGACGTTCTTTATGCTGGAACATTTTGTATTGTTTTTGCTATTTTAACCTGCTCACGTTATGTTGTTGGGGTTTTCTTATTCGTCTTTTTTGCCACCTAATTCCACTTTTTCTTAATCAAACCAGCACATTCACTGAAACCACAGGTGGTTTTATAAACATTTTTTTTCCCTTCACCATCACAAAGAGGGTTAGTTAGGAGTCAAAACACTGAAATGATTTATAAACTACAGCATACTGCATTTTCCCCTCAAATCTCTATTACTGTACAATTCAAAGTTTAAAAAGATTCTTGGGACGAATTAGAGTAACTTCCACCATTTTTTTTGTTGTTGTTAAGTCTCAAAATTACAACTCTAACGAGAGTGATATTTTTGAGGTCTTATAATTTGGTTAATTAGCTCTTCAGATTAAAAATTCTCTCCTGTCCAGTTTTTTTTTTTCTTTTCTCAAGAGAACATAAATTGTTAGTTGCTCACCAACCTTGCTCTTTTCTGGCTTCCCAGGCGGTTTCTATATTTAATTCTCTCTCTCTGCCTTGACTTTTTTCTCTTCCTCTCTCCCTGCAGCCCTCCTCATACCTCTTCATCAACTCTGCCTCTAAGATTTCCAAATGCTTGGTTTCAATCAACAAGGACCTATTGAAATCTTACTGTGTCCACAGCAACGTATTGCAAGGCCTGCCAAGAAGGCATATGACATGGACACAAGGGAGCTGACAATTTTAGGGGGATGACAGTCCTTAAAAACAGAATAACTTGATATGAAAAAACAATGCTACTTTGCTCAATATCCAGATTCCTCTTCTCCTTAAAACACACCCTTTTTAAGTACAAGGTCCTTTCACTAACCATTACAATTCACACCCAAATCAACCCCACTTTGTCCCAACAATAGAAAGAGGTATTTATTAACATCTGTTGAGTGCCCATAATGTTCCATATCTTCACAGAGCCTAGATTCCATCCCCAATGGAATTTCTCCCCCCACTAGTTCTGTTAACGTTTCGCAAGACTCCAACATTAGTGAAGGCAAGAGATCTAGCCTCAGTTGATAACAAGAGAGAAAATACACCTTCAAGAGGATAATTCCACGCTATAACAAAAATATTTGACAAAGTACGCAACATTTCCCCACTGCTGTCCCAAACTACAGGCTTTTCCCACTCTATTTCAGGTAATTGCCACTTAAAAAAATAAAATCAAATCAAACTCAAACCCCCAAGCAGACAACAGCAAAGACAATTTGTTTTGATGTCATTATTGCATACAGGTGAGAATCCAGAAGTAAAGAGTTACTAGTATAAATAGCTCTGCCCATTTGTTTTTATTTTATTTTATTTTTAAAGAT